TTACTAGAATGGAAAACCAAAATGGCGGACGGCGTGTTCTTAACCGGGGTAATCAATTGTTGGGTGGAGCCTGAAATACTAATCGGTAATCAATTCAACGTAAGAGACTTGTCAAATACGGGACAGTATAGAAGTCGGATGCGACTGAACCCAACGCAGATTGCGCAGGCTACAAAAAGAGAAAGCGAATCAACGAGAACGAGAAACGGTGCAGTAAGTTACTCACCAAAACGCTTTGTGTTCAAGGGATGTGCAGTCAGTAGAACAAGTGGACGTTTTGAAGGTTAAAACAACCGTAAAATCCAATGTTGCAAACTACTGAAACAGCGTGTTTTCGGGTACACTATATGTCTGAAGAAATGTTTGACGTCTGTGGATTTGATATGCTTGTCAGCGTATGATTGGATATTGAATTCATTTATGGTCGAGTCACATCCGCCAGGTCACGGTATTGTTAAGCAGACATTTGTAGCTTTTTATAGAGCGAACGCTTGCCAAGCGAAAACCCAGCACAAAAAGCCGAACTATTTGCTGGAACTGGTTAAACCCGAACCACCCAACTGGCACCACGGGGCCGTTGCTTGGCTAGCTGGCCACCATTTCTTCAAGTTTGGCTGGTTGCTGCTTGAACTTCTGGGATAATAAGAGCAGGATTTTTACCGGTAGGGTAGATGTGCATATCACGCAAAACCAGGGAGAATCTGGTATGTTTATTACTTTGGCCTGGGTAGCTTTCACAGAGACGCATTACGCATGGGAAATTTTACATCCGTTGGTACACGGAATATCCACTTTGAACAGTTTGCCACATGATTCACATTGGTGTTTAGCCTGCGGCACTCTAGGCGTTGCGACCATTAAGCGAAGGTTACGATCTATCGCACTGACTCACCCTTGATGATCAACAGAGGTTTTGGAGTCGCAGACCGCTAGTGCAGTGTCACAAGTTCACCTCGCTCTGGTGTGACCATGCGGTGTCGTTTCAAGGCGTTCGTTTGGTGCGCCGTTGGAATGAGTCTCTGTTCTGATGCGGCTGATCACACGATGGTTTGATCAACAAAGTTTCGTGGCCTGGTTCATGGATCGCCCTAGGGGGATTTGCCTGGATTCTGAGTAGGGTTGACTGTGAAGAAACCTAAACTACCTTGTAGCTGCCCACACAATGTTGGACTTGGACGAGTAAGATCTTGTTCGGAAGGCGTTGAAATGCCCTATCGAGTGAGACCAAAATCGGTTTCCGCGGTTGGAACAATGCAACTTTGTGCGCGTGTGTATCGAGTAAACACTGCCCGGGAATTACGATTCCGGTTAAATGTAGGACACACTGGTAGTATTCCCTATAGAATGCTTTGAATAGATGGTGCTGGTTACTTTAAAACCAAAAACTGCAAATCCAGTGATTGGTAACAAAACGCTGCTGATTATATCAGGAGAAAACTCGGGGTGCTTAATTGTGCAGGCAAAGCTTTCCAGTCGGAGGTCCATTGAACCGCATTGCAGACATTCATAAAAACCAGCGCCGGGTTTGAATCAAGAGGAGGAGTTCAACAAGAACTAGTGCCTTTTATGCAATCATTTGAAACTGCTTACATTGAGGTATATATGAGAACGTGGTCGCATTGGTGTTTGAGGACACTAGGCGGTAGAGATCATATTGGAGTGTCTGGACCTTTCGCATTCGAAAAACAGGACGTATTCGCATACACGCTTGGATCATTATGGGCTGCAGTCGTAATATACCAGAAGGAATGAGTTAACAGATGGCACTAGCTAATTCAAGGCAATTAAGTGCAAATTTTGTGTTGCGCGACCAAATGCGATTGATAAGACTCGAAAAGACCAGGGAATGCACAAATGTGTGATCGGTAATTTGATGAAGCAGCCGATGTAGACAGTCAGTTAGACTTGACATTGTATCTTCCAGATTCTCGCACCAGAAAACGGATCAAATATCTGTTTGATGCCAGAAGATAATGTTATGCCAGCCAGCCGCTTCTATGTATGCTAACAAATTTATAGTCTGTAGTGGGATAGAATGCACTGGTTCAAATTTATCTTCTTAGCCTACATCGGTCGTCGTGACCCAAAGATAAAACCCAATGGTTTGCTTTGAGTGGGACAGAGAGTTGGCTCTCCGGCAGGCAAAAGAATTGGCGACTCCGGAATGAAAAGGCGTCCACTTGGTGCAGTTTACTGATCGTCTACCTAGTGGGGTGTAACTACGCTCTATTTACACGACCAAAATATCAAACAGAACTGCTTGCGATTAACATTTAACTAGCTACAACCACAAACGCAATTATTTGGTAACCAATGAGGGCTACTAAGAGCTGCCTTTGTATGCAGCATTAGTCCATGGTATATGAGTGTGAGGCTATCGGTCAAGCCGTGTGGGTGCCGGTAGTACGTCATTATCTGACAGATGGCTGATGCTCTCTGCAACTTACCGCCTACACAGGAGGCACATAAAGGCAGACACGTTATTTCATTATTCCTATCGCTATTCGAAACGTTGCGTTTCTACTTTCGTTTCACGGTGTGACTTTTGGTCAGTTGGAACTTGCAATAGTTCGCTTTGTTCTGTTTAGGGAAACCGTAATACATCCAATAAAATGGAGACATTTTATCTGAACTATAAAATATTGCCTCGCAACCGGTTTTCGGGTTTACTGCTTTCGATACGTAGCATGTTAGGTGTCAACCAAACATCACACACACCACACCTTAGTGAGTGGACAAGCTACACAAGGTATTATGCACTGTATGTCACAATTTGTGTAGGAAATACATTCGGTTGGGTGGTACCTATCCGACGCAATTCTTCCAGTGTTAGCCTAACCTTGATCAGATATCACACCATTTAACAATTCGAAAGCATATTAATGATGCGAAATGCACTGCGGGAACCTACGGCGTTTGTGCCTCTGCGTGTTCTACAGCGAGCTTGTACGCCTTATCCAACTCCATCCTCCAACCAACTGAATTGACGACTCTACATGGAGCTAATCTTACTTTTCGGGTGGGAACACCCAATATGCATCTCATCCAGTGTTCCTCTGCTCAACTCGATGTGAGAAGAGTATAAATAAAGTACATCTAACGGTAAACGAGGCGAGTTTTCTTTCCCAGACACTATCTTATCGGTCACGAAGCGTTCTGTTTTAATCACCATAGTAGTGTGTTTCCATTTACGACTGACTGGTCGATCTACTGTGCTGATTGTTTAACACCAAATATTTTGATAGAGACTTTAACATTTGAAAACTGCTTGAAACCGGTGTAAGCATGATGAGGCGCTACATTCAGATTGTTCGGCTCAATTCTTTGATTAATAAATTTATTTTCAGTAAGCTAATTTACTCAATAAATTCTAAACTCAGACTTTACTATTTTCTATCTTGTATCATTTCACCTTTCAAACTACGTTGCTTTATCATTGTGCTAATTGAACTTCTGCAACTAGCTTGCTCTCAGTTACCCCGTTCATTCAGATAGACTAGTTGGCAAGATTTCATGAAATCCAACACTTCAGTTGTGCTTTTTTGGAGGAGTACAAGATTGATGATAGTAATAAGATACCAATGCACAACTGTTTGGTCTTCAGGAATGTGTCCATCTGGTCGCACCATCGTTGGATGATAGTCCTGATGCACAGAAGCCATGTGACTCACAGAGGAATCTGCACCCGCATATCCAACCCAGTAACCGCTCCATAAAATCGGCTTAGAGTGGAATAACTTGAGAATTAATGAAAGACTGAAGCAAGGAGTAAAGCAACTTAAAATCTCCTGGGAGGGTTAATTTTTGAGTTCTCATCATTCCATCATGGATATAAGTCATACACCTTGATCCAAAATGGTTCGCTGCTTTATCACGATGAGAGGAACAAGAACTCGGTAAAAAAAACCCACGGTGAACTGAATCGCTACTATCAATTCATTTATACTGCTCTTTGTGTATGTGGGTAGGAAAGGCTGTTTTAACCACATAAAGAAAAACGTTTTCACAGAAGTCCTGTTCGGCCGAGGTCTATTTTTTGGAACTAATGATTCTTAAAGCGAATTACAAAAGTAATCAGAAAGCAACCTAATTGGCACGCAGCTGGTAATGGCCAGAACGTCGAATAGTACAGGTTGTTACACCGCTTGCGTTTTGGTCAGGGACCAATTGTTGGTGCCATCCTAGCAGTACTCACTCGCTCACGAGTTTAAACTGCACTTCTGTGACAGGATGCAACCAACGATTTCTGCCATTCACTTGTATGTGCTTGATTACATGATGAAACACGCCAGGAAACGAAGCGGTCAATCCTGCGTCTGGGCTGTTTTGGTTGACTGAGAGATTACGCACTTGCATAGTTGGTTCATCGGAACTGAATGACAGATCGGTTAGTTGAGACCTTAAAGTGCCTCGTTCAGACTTCACTAAAACACGACTTATGAATAATTACTAAAGCAATAAACATGCGATTGATTTGTACTTTTGGGGTTTAAGCAACTAAAGCTATCCGGAGAGTGGCTGCAACATATTGCACCATCATATTTTTCTAACACGCAAAAGCTAATAACTGTTTAGTTGGTCGCTTTAACTCAGTGGCCCATTGTTCCACGTATGTTAGCGAAGGTGCCCCGCCTACCACCTGAACCCAGGTCATTCATTCTAATGCATACCTTAGCAATTCCTTATTCATCCAGAATGTCGTCCTTCGGTGTAGTTTAGTGCAAACAGGTGCGGTTAGACACATCTAGGGTGTACCAATGTTTTTGCGCTGCAATCAAGTGAGTCTCTGTCCTTCACTGTTGTACGTGACCAGGTGACTACATCACGATCTACTCACCCGACTGTCCAACAGATGTTTTATGGCACGTGCGCAGTGCTAACTAGCTGATTTGCTAGCGCTAACTTGCTAACCTCACGTGACTCAGGCCACAACGTTTCCACGGCTAATTAGGGTGCAGAAAGCCACTTTAGATGTGAGCTCACAGCTCAGAGCTTGTAGCATGGAGACCGATTTGGAGGCAGCGGATGCCCTGTTGTTTTCAGGGAAGTTCAACGAATGCGTTCACTTGTTGGATAATATTTCGCTCCGTTACAAGCACCCGGATGTGTACTGGAGGCAAGCCCGAGCTGTCTACATGCAAAGTGAGTCAACCTCTTTCCGTGTGAACTATCCATTCGAGTGCAGCTTACGGTGGCCCTGAAAAACCACCAAAGCATGAACTTCGGGAGAGATTTACTAATGCATTTAATCTGACACTAACCGGGTTAGAAATGGACAAAAATAATGCAAACTGTCTTATAGTAAGTGTTGGACTTATGTGTACGTGATTTACTAAGTGGCATGGTATCTGCATCGATCAGCTCTCACTCTTAGAAGGGACGAGTGCGAGAATCAGGAGTGCATTCAGAGTGCGGGATCTGTGGGAGGTATTTACGCACGGAGGTGACCTCAGTGCATATTTAATTTTCTAGAAGGCACTAGAGATCGACCCAAGTAATTACCTGGTGTACAATTGCCTTGGCGTCTGGTAGGCTTTACTTACTGACTGCGGTCACTCAACAACAACAGGTGTTTTGAAGTAGCGGATGTGTCCAGTGTCAAACGAGCTATCGCAAAGACATTCTTTACTTCTCCGCCAAAGGCCACATATGAAGAGGTATAGTTCTCTGTTTCATTACAAACCGATTTCTAGTCTCTGAGGTACTTGAACAAATGCGAAGAACGTAAGTTCTGTCAATTTAATGCCTCGAAGTGAAAAGCAGTAGCACCGAAATTTGTGATTGGAACGCTGATGACACTGGCTAAGTGCCACGAAAGATTACATAATGATGCTAAAGCTATTGAATACTGCCATGATGTATTAAACTATCGAGATGTCGGTATAGAAGTCAGCATGGTTGGTCAGATTGGCCTCTCAAAATTATCCTCTTTCAGGCTAAAATGGAAGCCAGAAAACTGTTGAAAAAGCTGACAGCTGATTGAAAAAGCGCGTACAAATATTTTTACATTTAAGACAAGTTTATGTTTGTCGATCTTCTTCCGTTGAAGCTAAGTGGTCTTTCATGAAGAAATGAGCTATTACTTGTGCACCATCAAATGCTTCTGTTATTCCTTTTAGAGTCATTTTGCATAATTATAGTGTAATGAAGAATACATCTAGCGAAAAGGTTTAAATCCCTATCTCCTCGCTCAGTCATGACTACGTTAACATAGTGGGCTTGTTTCCGCAACATAGACCATTCCAGAAACGAGTTCGTCTAGAGATATTTCCGCTCTATGCTTATTAGTAGAGTAGACCGAGCTTGGACCGCTCAGTCAAATGTTGGGCACTAATTGTCAATAACTTAGTTGCTACGAAAAGGCGCGAAAAACAAAGCAAAGGAACTCTAGCAAAACGCACTAGGGTAAAACGCAATTCTGATAAGCAGTGAAAAATTACCTGGAACTTCGGTGTGACGAGCAAATATTAGAAATTCGGGCGAAACTCGTTGAGAAATACGGAGCATCAATCTACATCAATCAGAAGCAGCAGAAGCTAGACAAACTTCTCAAAATGAGGTTTATACTCTGTTGAAGTCAGTTACAGAAGGATTGTTTTCAAGTTACATAACACTAACCCATATTAGGAAGAACGCTAGTAAAGAACATTACACAACTTCTCAACGAAAACAGATTATAGACAAGTAACCAAATACTCTTGATCGTCGTCTGGGAGTAACAGCGATATAATCACTATGCTCAGCAATTGAAAGCGCTTTCTTATGGTGGCGAGAACAAGGCTATCACCAATAAGTAACTAGTAAGGAGACTTTATGAGGTACATTTGGCTTCGTCGCCGTTAACTGATTTCCTACTGCATCGCTCTAGGTCAGAGGTCACCAACCTTTTTTCTAGGCCGGCCGGATTGCGAATGAAATGATCGCCGCGGACCAGATCGGCATTTGCACAATACACAAAGTCCAAAACGTAGCTAACGGAATTACTGTAAACTGTGTTGCACATTCCGTCATAAATACGGGCGAGTAACCTAAAAAGTACGAGAATAAAAGGAATTCAGCATATGAAGTGAAAAGCATATTAACAGAGGCGACCGTAACTAACGTTTAAGTTCTCACGCATGTACACACATCCGAAAGTTGCAAAGGGCTGCGAAAAAAGTTGGCGACATCTGTGAAATTGAACTTCGGCTTTCACAATAGAAACCATGTTTGTTTTGGAATACATACAACCGATCAAGAGAAGCGCTTTCAAATGTTCACCAGTCAATCTAGTTTGATGAGTCGCTTTCACGTACTTTACTTTGGTAAATGTTTGTTCCAAACTTTGTTGACATAACAGCTGCAAGTATTTTCAGTTCCAGAAATTCAACATCATCTATGGAGCGGTAAATTCCGACGAGTTATCCTTCCCTGTGTTTTTATTTAAATAAGTCATTTGCTTGAAAGTCAATTAGCTCTAACTGTAGTTTAGCTGGAACACCATTAAGGTTGCAATCATACGGATTCTGGGACCGAGGAAGTTCACTCTCAATTCTGTCAAGATCTAAAAAGCTCTCCAAAATGCTTTTTCAGTTCATGAATAATTACTCTCAGAAACGATCATAGAGTAAAACTCCTTGAAACAGTTAAAATAAGAAAGACTTTGTTCTTCCAGTTGTGTTTCAAACAATGACAATTTTCGCCCAAATCATTTAATGCTTCTGTCCAGATCACAGATGAGGTAGTTCTTTCCATGCAGTTTCTAGTTCAGCTCATTCATGTGGGACGTGATTTCCTCCATAAGTGCCAACTTTGACAGCCAGGTATGATCTGACAGCTGTGAGTCAGCTTTAGGTTTTTCATTCAGCAACGCACGTATTCCGTTGCGGAGCATATAAAAACGTAACAGAAATTTACCTCAACTAAGCCATCGTAATGATGTGTGGTAATGTACATCACAGAATTCGGAATCAATGTCTTCCAAATATCTGAAACTGACGGTGCTTGAGAGCATGTCCTTGAAGGAACTTGACGGTAGTAACGACTGGTTTGAATACCCAAAAATATCTGCCTTTCCCACAGAGTGGTTGTTGATGTAGGATGTAATGAATGAACAGAACGGCCGGAGTTTCCAAATTTTCCAACTGAGTCCTGATCTACCCAACCAGACGTTTCCGCACTCCAGCCGTGCTTCTCCCTCCATCAACTGTCACACCTTGAAGTCGATTCCACGGAAGGTTGTAATCCTGCAAAACTATGTACACTTCCCCGAAAATGTCCTTTCCTGTTGTTGCTCCATGTATACTAAAGACCGACGCCAATACCTCCGTTAGTTGAAAGCGCGAATTGGCACCACGAATGAACACGAAAAGTTGTGACATACTGGACAGACCAGTAGACTCATCCAGCGTCAGAAAACCACAAACATTTTTAGCTTTCTGGCGTATCTGCATCAGTATTTTCTCTCCACGTTCTTATGTTCTCCGCGAAACAAAACTTGCCGAAAGGCTGATAGTGGAAAACAAATCGGTCTTCACGGGACACAAGTCATTCACTGCTTCCATTATACACTCTTTGATCGAGTTACCATCAGTAAACGATTTCCCTCGTTCAGCCATCTTATGTTCTATTTTGGAACTCCTACGAGTAGGTGCTACATTTTCATTAAACTTTCTCGTGAAGAGATTTCTTCGTGTTTCAAAACCACTTTCCATGGACTCTTGTCTCCCAGCGTTGCATCCCCGAATATTTCGAGTATGATAATATGTGTTTTGTTTCATAATGACGCCGGAGATTGTACTCTTTCAAAACGGCTATACTTTCGCCGTATATGACAGCTGCATTCCAAGTCCTTTGTCTCTACGAAGAAGTACTTCACTCTCCATTCGTAGTTTAATACGCGACATTCTGCGTCCACTTTCCTCTGCTAAGTAGCCATAAGAAGGGTTGCAGTTCACCTGAGCTGAAAATGTAAGAGACACTGAATTGGATACAAATTAGCATCCTACTAGAACACCTGCAAAGTAGAGAACTTGCGGCTGCTGTGAAGTTACGGCTCACCAAACATCCATCTGAAACTTAGATCATAACGTTTATTGTATACAATACATATATCACACAAGAGCCGTTGCAAAATAAGTGAATACGGCAGGCTTAAATGAGCAGCTTGCGGCATCGTTTTTCAACTGCGTTTCTCAGAGTGGCAACCGGAAGTTCCGCAGCGATAGCGGAATTGCCCAACGACAACATTTCTGCTCATCTGATTTATCACGAGCAGTTCGCACAGTTCGCCGTCTCGACAGTAAGCGGATTTCTGACCCGCGTTGAAACGCCTGTAGCATCTTTCCATTGTCTTCACGAAGTTCCACTTCTCATGGACATCATCGGCCCGAAAATCATCACGAGGACGTGACATGCTCATCTTCACCAGAGGCTTCCGAACAGTTTATTAAGCCACAATGTGGCTTGTCTGTCACATGGATCAATTTCATGCACAGCCTCACGAACGCAACGGCGCATGCGCGTGAAAGGCGATTATGTGGATCACATACACAATGAGATGCACGCAGGTGAATGGGGTCAAACGGGTGTTCAGGGTTAGAGAATGCGAAAAGCAATCGAGCTTATAGTGCGAAGCGCGGCATTGCGGTGTAAACGGTCCCGTTCACTAGGCTACACGCAGAATATCGCTCACTCTCAAAGCTGATAGGCAACATGAGGTGCCGAACGTAGCTGCGATGCCACGGTGATAATGCATGCACGTGTTCCAACATACTGACTGGATCGAAGTGCATTCGTGAGAAGGACTTAAACACTGCGCTAGAATAAGCACGGGAATTGACTGGGTGTTCAAAATTGAGTGTCGTACGTGGGTCGGATGAAATAAGGTCGCGGGCCGGATCTGACCCGCCGGTAGTAGTTTGGTGACCTTGCTGTAGGTCATTAATTGGCAACTAAAGGACGGATTCGGGTTCCCTCACCTGCCGCCGGTTTGGAGGCTGTACAGTATCCCCCTGTGCTTACTGCCACCTGCAATTGCAGAGCAGTGAAACAACAGTGTACATTACTGATGTATTGCAGAAACCTTAGTAGAGTCAAGCTGTCATACAGCGTCCGCTATCAGGAAGAGCGCTGGATAGGTCCCCATCTGCCCACTTTGGCCTCGAATTCTTGGGGATTCGAAATGGTGGTTGCTACATTTCCGTGTCCAGAGGTGACGCAACTAGTTTCAACCACATGAAACTCATTGGATTCCTTAGCACTTATCTGGCCTCATTAATGTCCCTAAAAGAGTATTGTGAGGTTTGCACGTGAATTTGAATCAGGTGATCAGGCATGTTCTATGCACAATGGAACGTGCCAAGTACTAGAGGTTGAAACGGGTCATTTAATAGCTGGTAACTGCAAACTTGGCAGCTGCCATCACATCTATCATAGTGGCGTAAGCTGCGCGCCACAAACTGAACCCTTGTGGGTTCGACTCCCATCAAGAGCTACTCCGTATTTCCATGATTGTACAAATTATTATAACAGCTACAAGAGCATTTGAAGCAGAGTTTCAATAATGCATCAGCTAATTTTTGAGGCACATTTTGAGGAGTTTTTGACCATTAATTGTAAGTTCAGACTACCAAACAGTACAATGTCGGTTGGTTTAGGAAAGGCTGATGAACGGTGCGATAAGATATCATATTGCTAGCGATACAGAATATGAGCTTCGTTATATTGATGATAGGAGCTTTGGTCATGTAGGAAACTGACTACGCCCAGCAAATGACAATTATGTAGAATGAGGGGAGTAAGTTTCAAGGTATAAACTAAACACAGACCTTCATCGGTACAGGGGCTCACAGCGTTCACTTCATTTGGATATTATTCTGCTGAGCTATCAGTTTCGCCGTTGAATGAAATACTAGTGACACACTAGGAGGAGCGACGTTTATACTAACAAGTACGAAACAACATTCCAGAAAGTAACTTGTTACACCAGACAATTCTAGGTTT